GTTCAAGGTCTTGGTGTGGGTTTTTGGGCTTGTAGGAGGGCCTTCAAGTTTGCAGGCCTCTCGGGCTTTAGAAATTAAGTTTATGGTGCTTTCAGGAGTTCACGGCTTCAGGGACAGGGGTTTCAGATGTTCGGGATTGAGGTGTTCGGGCTCTGGTTTGGCTGTAGAGGGTTTAGGGTTTAGGGTTTAGGGTTTAGGGTTTAGGGTTTAGGGTTTTCTAGTTTGTTTTTCTCCTTGCTCGACAGACCTGTTGCTACAAAGGTTGCACAGGGCGTATGTCGCAGCCGCAAAAGAAGCATCAGGCCTAAACCCTGGACCCTATACCCTAAACCCTAAACCCTAAACCCTAAACCCTAAACCCTACACCCTAAACCCTAAGCCCCAAACCCCAAACCCTAAGGCGCCTGATTGTCCACCCGATTGCCGTAGTGATGGGTGTGCTTGAGGCCGGCGGTCGCCGTAGCCAGGCCGGGCGTGTCCGGGTTTAGGGTTTAGGGTTTAGGGTTTGGGGTTTAAGGTTTAGGGTCTAGGGTTTGGGGTTTAGGGTTTTGCGGCTTAGGGTTTAGGGTTTAGGCACGTGCACTCAAACAGGACGGTCCGGTTTAGGGTTTAGGGTTTAGGGTTCAGGGTCCAGGCTCCAGGGTTTGGGACCCTAACTTCCTCCAAACGGCCACCAGGTCGCGGGAGCTCTGGAGCAGCGGTCTCTTGCTCAGGGCCTCTGGGGCCTCAGGGTTTCAGGGTTTTAGTAGGGTTTTGGGGCTTTAGGGTTGGAGCATTTTTGTGGGGTTTAGGGTTTTAGGATGTTAGGGTTGAGGGATTAGAGTCCAGAGCTTGGGGAATCTTCGCTTATTAGGCAGACTTAGGGGCTCACCGGGATTTTTTTTTTGGTGGCTGCCTGGGGTTTTCGACTTGGTCTCCGTTGCTGCGCCCGCCTCCGAGGCTGGACGACCTGCTGATGAGCCGTGACGCCCGGAACGAGAGCATGCAGCGGAGCTGCTTGGCCAGCAACTGCAGCCGAACACACTAAGCCCCTCTAAACCCTAAACCCTAAACCCTAAATCCTAAACCCTAAACCCTAAACCCTAAACCCTAAACCCTAAACCCTAAACCCTAAACCCTAAACCCTAAACCTTGTACTTGGAAGTAGTTGGAAGGTTCACGGGTACTTCGAAGTAGGGTTAGCTTTTTTTTGGTGGTTGAGCTCCTTTCTACGTCAGCAGATCAGTGAGCAGTCTTCGAAGTAGGGTTAGAGTTAGAACAGCCAAAATCGGCTCATGAGCCTCCAAACGAGCTGTGCACCCGATGCTTTTTCGTCGCACGGGCAGCCTGAAGCCTGAAGCATTCTGCAGGACTCACTCTTGCAGATGTTGCTGCTCATATCTACGATGTCATGAACCCTAAACCCTGAACCCTGAACCCTGGACCCTGAACCTTAAACCCTGAACCCTAAACCCTAAACCGGACCGTCCTGTTTGAGTGCACGTGCCTAAACCTTAACCCTAAACCCTGAACCCTGAACCCTGAACCCTGAACCCTGAACCCTGAACCCTAAACCCTAAACCCTAAGCCCCACCCCTTGCTGGAGGCCATCGCCAAAGATCCGCTGCTTCGGCGACTCGGACTCCCTCGTTGGTCTCCTGCAGGCTGCCGGAGAAGGCGAAGCGGAGGGTTTAGGGTTTAGGGTTTAGGGTTTAGGGTTTAGGGTTTAGGGTTTAGGGGTTAGGGGTTAGGGGTTAGGGGTTTAGGGTTTCGGGTTTCGGGTTTCGGGTTTAGGGTTTGGGGTTTAGGGTTTGGGGGCTGTTCTAAATGGGAGCCCATGCTCCTCAGCGTCAACTGCGTGGCCAAAAAGGGTGTTTTTTCCTTGCTTCTCTTTTATTTCGGGGCATTGTTCTGAATGGGCGCCCCTTGTCATAGGACTTGTTTGGTCAAGGAGCAGGAGCCCTCTGACAAGGGGCCAACCCTAAACCCTAAACCCCAAAACCCCAAACCCTAAACCCTAAACCCTAAAAGTACTAGGGAACCTTGGGTGACACCCCGTTTGAACCCGAAACCCTAACCCCCCCCCTCCCTCAAGAACCCAATAACGTTAGCTGCTTCAGTGGAGACAGCTCTTCATCGTTCGGGGGCTCAGGCTTTGGGGCTTAGGCTTTGGGATGTAGGGTTTAGGGATGTTTAGGGTTTAGGGGCTAGGAACATTTCGGGGTTAGGGATATTCAGGGGTTGGGGAAGAGGCAACTTTGCAGCCCCAGCAGCGGAGAACGAGAAGCGGTGCACCTTCGTCGCGGCCCATGGCCTCGCGTGTGTTATTTTTGCGGTCTCTCTCGGCTCAAGTCGTGAGCCATCGTAGTGTCTGTTCTCGCAGGTCCTAGGACTGGGTGCCTTTCTTTCCGTTCTTTCCGGCTCCTCCTTCAGCGCCATGTTCCAGTGCCGGATGTGTTCGGAGAATCCCTTCAGCCCCTGGGGCCGCAAGCTGCCTGGGAGCAGACTCCCGTTCATACGAGCGCGAAGGAACAGAATAGAAATGTGTGGGTAAGAATATAAGTCTGTAAGGAGATAAGATTAGATTGACGTAAGATATTATATATATATATATATATATATATTAGTTCTTAATATATTAATATATGGACATATTAATATGCCAATATATATATATATATATTAAAATGAAACTTCATTAATATATTCATATATTAAGATATTGATATATATATATATATATATATATTAATCTATCAATATACTAGTATAATAATCTATCAATGCATTAATATGTATATTAATATATTAATACATTCATATATATATATATATATATACTATATTCATATATTTCATATTCAAATATGTGGAAATATTGTTATATTCATTTCATAAAAATGTATGATAGTTAATATATTGATATATTTATACAACTACTCATGTCAGAATAGGAAATTCAACAGTATATTCATTGTATATATATATATATGAAAACAAGAAATATTGTAGTAATATCAAAAGCAAAAATCATATGATATCAGAGAAGTATCTACCATGTCATGTAGTGCCCCCGCCCCCCTCCCCCCCTCCCCCCAACATCCCTAACATACGGGCGCGAGGTGCCATGATGGGCGCCCCTCCCGGCAAGAGCGAGGCCGACCGTCCTCATGATCACCCCCGTGTGTCTGGCCGTTGCCTTTTGGGAAATTAGCGTTCTAGGATGTAGGGTTTTGCGGTTCTAGGGCTTTAGGGCTCTAGGGCTTTAGGGTGTTAGGGTTGAGGGGGATCCTGGAAATGCAGGAGAAGAAAAAGAAGAAGGGCACTGGAGAAGGCGGGGGGGTGAGCAGACTGATGCGCGTGTGGGTCAAATAAATTTCCGAACCTTTAAACTTTAGAATATAAATGTTAACGTTTGGGATTTAGGTGTAAGGGTTAAATAGGGTTTAGGGTAGGCGCCTAACCGAAAGCCCCTACTTGAAGGTTCGTTTCTACTTCTAAGGGGGGGGTTATAAGTACCCTACAGAAGGTTATAACCATACTGAGAACCTTACTTCTAAATACCCATGAACCTCCAAGTAAAGCTCTCAAGCCCTAAAGCCCTCAGACACTAAACCCCTAAACACCGAAAGCCCGAACCCCCCGAGTACAAGCGCCCTGGTTGAGCGTTTAGGCATACTCAAGCCCTAAAACCCCTCAACCCTCAACCTTAAATGCCAAGAATGCAACAGGCCAATCAGGTTTATAGGACATCTGGGAAACCGAGCCCGGGGTGTAGGCGGGCGTGTGGGCGCGTGTGGGTGAGTGGGCGAAAACCCCAAGCCCTGAGCCCTAAACCCTAAACCCTAAGCCCCTCGGCAGGCAAGAGGAAGTCCGTGTCCAAGCGGGACATGAGCGCCTTCAACAGCCGGTCCGACGCAGAAGTGTGCCTTGGATGCTCTGAGGGTTTCGGGCTTTTAGGGTTTCGGGTTTAGGGTTTATGGTTTATCTAGGGTCTAGGAATCATGTCGGGTTTAGGGAGTTTAGGGTTTTACTTAGGGTTTAGGGTTTGGGCCTTATTCAGGGTTTAGGGTTTGGGGCTTGTTTAGGGTTGATTTAGGGTTTAGGGTTTGGTTTAGGGTTAATTCGGGTTTAGGGTTGTTTTAGGGTTACTTTAGGGTTTTTCTAGGATTGAGGGTTTTGGGTTTATTTCGGGTTGGGGGTTTTAGTTCTGGTTTGCGGCTTAGGGTTTAGGGTGCTTTACAGCTGGTTGTGCAGAAAGTTCTGGGGGCCTTCAGGGGTTTAAAGGTTTAGGGTTCAGCTGTCCAGTTCGGTCTCAAACTGTGCTGATTCTGGCGTTTCTTTGATACCACCCCAGGCGAGCAGCTGTCGAGCGTTGGAGCGAGTGGCTCGGCACCGAAATCCAAAAGCCTAAAACCCTAAACCCCGAACTCTTAAACCCTAAACCCTGAACCCTAAAACCCACAACCCCAACAAAATCCAAAACGCTAGACCCTAAATCCTAAACCCAAAAACCCCTAAACCCCCCCAAACCCTAAGACCCGAAAATCCTAAACCCCAAGCCCTGAAGCTTTGACCGACCAGCGGGCCAACTTAGCAAATCCAGGGGCCCATCTAATCCTGAGGTGCTATTTAAGGTTTAGGCTTTGGGCTTTAGGGTTTGGGGTTTGGGTACCATAGGGCTAAACCCTAAACCCTAAACCCTAAACCCTAAACCCCAAATCCCTAAACCCTTGTAAATCGCTAGCTCATGAAGGAAGCCAATCCTCTCCATGCGTTTCAGGAGCTTCGGGGTTGTAGGGTTTTGTAGGCCGTTGAGGGCTTTAGGTTGGGATGTTCCTCTCTTATACGAACAGTCCTGAATAAGCATATTTAGTAGAGGTTACTATGATCCCTATTAATAAGGGCTGTTAGTAGAAGGGGGCTTTAGGCTTTTTCGTGGTCAAGGACTTAGGGCTCGGAGCATTTCTTACCCTAAACCCTTAACCCTTAACCCTAAACCCTAAACCCTAAACCCTAGCCCTAAACCCTACCCTAAACCGTTCTCATCGCCAGGTATGCGCACCCCCGTGCCAAGGAGTTCTTCTCTTCACCAGAGCAGTTGGAGGCATGAGCTGTGGTTTAGGGTTTAGCGTTTAGGGTGTAGGGTTTAGGGTTTAGGGTTGAAGGTTTAGGGTAGTTTAGGGCTCATGCGCAGTGCTCTTGGCTGAAGATGTCGACAAAGCTTTCAGATGTTGCCATAGCCCTAACCCCACTAGACCGTAAACCCTAAACCCCTACCCTAGCCCTAGACCCTAAACCCCCCGAGCCCTAATCGCCAAAGCCCTAAACCGTGTTTCAGGAAGTGCTGGTCCAGCTGGCGAAGGGCACCGTGCGGGTCTTAGTCTCTCCCAGTTGTGAGAGCTGATCCACATTCTGGGCCACGTAGGAGGTTTAGGGTTTAGGGTTTAGGGTTTAGGGCTAAGTGGGGTCTTTGTGAGAAAATGCAGTCCTTCAAGTTGAGCGGGTGCCGGACCAGGCCCGCAGTTGTAGATCAACTTTCAGGGTGCCAACATAGTCTCGAAGCTCACGCCTTGTGGAGGATACAGCTGCTATAGGATCATGAGACAACGCACATCAGACAACGGGGGTGTTGACATGAGGCGGAGAGCACAAGGATCTCCAGCAGCAAGAGACGCGGCTTAAAGAGACATCCCCTCGCAAGGACAAGAATGATGATCCAATCCTCGGTCCCGATGAGAAGTGTGTGTATTGGTACGGCGACGTCACAAAAGATGACCTTCAGGCGGGAAGCATGCAAGGCCTACTTGGAGGTCCAAGGGGAGTTGCAAACAGGTTTCTAAGTACCCTAAATCAGGTTGTAAACATAGCTGCCCTTCTCATCACCCTACTTGTAAGTACTCATCTAACCCAACTTTTCAACTATTGGCCTCTTATAAGGTAGTCTTATTCTGACAGTTTGAACTTTTCCCCCATGGGCCCATGGGTAGTCGGGAAGGAAGTCATGAGCCACCAAAGTATGTCCATTGGGGAAGGAGGGGGAGATCCCTTATAAACCCTAAACCGAAACCCTAAACCCTAAACCCCAAACCCCAAACCCTAAACCCTAAACCCTGCTTGGAGGCCGCCATCCGCATGGTGAAGCCAGGTGAGCAAAGTGAGTCCGTACCGGCCTGAGTACCTTTGGGGTTCAGGGTTTAGGGTTTAGGGTTCAGGGTTCAGGGTTTTGTTTTTGGGTTTTGGGTTTCGGGCTATGGGTATTTCCCAAATTAGGGGGCACCCCTTTTATACCCCAAATAGAGCAAAATCCCCGTAAAGGGAGCGATGGAGGTTTCAAAGGGAGTCCTACTATTTGGGGTTTAAATTGGAGTCCCCCTGATTTTCGTAAACCCCCTTTTGGGCTCCCTAAAGTCGGGGTCCCTTTGTTTGGTTGTACGCGCAGAAGCCACTGTCTGTAGGGGTTGATGGCGCTTCACGCGGGCAGCACGGAGATTCGACCCAGCTCTCGTGCTGCAGAGGCTACCTACCCTGAAGGCACTAAACCCGTGGTAGCCCAGCGGTACTCGTTTTCCTTTTTTTTGGTTCAAGGTTCCCGTCTAAAGTAACTGGACCCTAAGCCCTAAGCCCTAAGCCCTAAGCCCTAAACCCTAAACCCTAAACCCGAAACCCTAAACCCCAAACCCCAAACCCTAAACCCTAAACCCTAAACCCTAAACCCTAAACCCTAAACCCTAAACCCTAAACCCTAAACCCTAAACCCTAAACCCTAAACCCTAAACCCTAGCGGGTGCCCTCTTTGTAATGTGGTTTCTGGGCTACCAAGAACCTCACACCCCCAGATCAAGCCCAGGTGACATATGTCAATCGTGTCCTTGCCTTCATCTTCGCCACCGACGATTCTTTCGCACCTTGTCAGAAATTTAGGGTTTAGGGTTTAGGGTTTAGGGTTTAGGGTTTAGGGTTTAGGGTTTAGGGTTTAGGGTTTAGGGTTTAGGGTTTAGGGTTTAGGGCTGGCTCTTTCGGAACTGGTTTCATCCGGCGAGATCCGGCTTGTCGCGCGCTTATTGTCATCTGGGTCAACAGTGCTCCCCTCTGGCGATGACAAGGGGCCTGAGAAAGCCTAGCCCTATTCTCATTCGTTACTGTCCGATTCAACCTCCATTCCCGTCATCGGGTACGGTTCCTCTTCCTCCAAACTTCCCCCCTCAACCCGTCAGCTCAGGAGAAACTCATGCAGCTTCCCAAAGAGCCCTTCAAGATGAGCTGCGGGGACCAGCTGTGTGTGCCATGGCAGGTGGTCGTGGTGGTGGTGGTGGTGGTGGTGGTAGTAGTAGTAGTAGTAGTAGTAGTAGTAGTAGTAGTAGTAGTAGCAGGGTTCGGGAGGTGCTCCTTTCCTGAGGTGCACCTGGCCCACATCTCCCTTGCAGTCTGAGGCCGCGCGCTACGTCTTTTTGGGTTTCGGGTTTCGGGTTCAGGGTTTAGGGTTTAGGGTTTAGGGTTTAGGGTTTAGGTCCGCAACCTCAAGGGACTTCCAAGGTTTGGGGGATTTCCGGGGCTTACAGGAGGCTTAGAGGGCTTTCTAGGGTCCTGGCCGGGGTCCTGTGAGTGAGTACCTTTGGGGTTCAATGTTCAGGTTTAAGGTTTAGGGTTTACGGATATGGGCATCTCCCAAAATAGGGGCTACCCCTTTTATCCCCAAAATAGAGTAGAATCCCCTTAAAGGTGGGCATCCTCTCACAGTACCCCGTTGGCTTCTTGTGCCCCAAGGTTCAACATTGTTTAAGTGAGCCTCCTTGGACCCTAAGTATGCGCCTGCTTCTTGCTCCCGAAGGCTCAACGTGGTTTAACTACCAAAAACAACTATGAACTTTGCCTTTGCCTCGAGCCCTCAACCCGCAACCCGAAGCCCTCAACCCGCAATCCTAAACCTTAAGCCCTAAGCCGTAAACTCTAAGCCCTAAACCCTAAGTAGCCCTAAGCCCCTAAGCCCTAAACTCTGCGCCCTAAATCCTAAATAGCCCCAAGCCCTAAGCCCTGAACCCTGAGCCCTAAACCCTGAGCCCTAAACCCTAAACCCTAAACCCTAAACCCTAAACCCTAAACCCTAAACCCTAAACCCTAAACCCTAAACCCTAAACCCTAAACCCTAAACCCTAAGCCGTGTGAGGTACCAAGACCACCGGGCCGCGGCTGAGGGTGGCTGCACGCCCATTGCGTAGGGCCCCAGGTATTGGCAAGGGCTGAGTCTCTTTGGCACTCAGGGTTTGGGGTTTAGGGGTTTGGGGTTTGCGGTTTAGGGGTTTAGGGTTTAGGGGTTAGGGTTTAGGGTTTAGGGTTTAGGGTTCAGGGTTGCTACCCAGCACCCCTGAATTAAGGACTAGACCCTAATTGGGTACAAGGCTTTAGGGTTCAAGAAGGTTGCGCGAGCGAAGCAGAATGTTTCCCGACTTGGGGCTTGGTTCAAAGCAGGAGCCCCGGCCCCAGTCATGAGTCATAGTATCCCTTTATGTCGTTAGAGTTCGTCTCTACATGACTCAAGTGGACCCTAAACACCAGACTCTAAGCCCTTAAACCAGAAAGGAACTTCGAAGCCAGGCGTTGCAACTCAGACGCAGGGTTTAGGGTTTAGGGTTTGGGGTTTGGGGTTTGGGGTTTGGGGTTTAGGGTTTAGGGTTTAGGTTTGGGGTTTACTCAGATGGACTTTGCGGGTTTCGGGTGTCGGGTTTAGGGCTACTAAGGGGGGTTCCGGGAACCTACTCGCAACATTATCGGTGCTACTGTTTGGCTCAGAACAAACGAATTATAGAGATACTCAGCGAACCCGATGGTCCATTAGATTTGGAGATTCCGCGCCTTTGAGGGACTCAGCTACGTCGACATGCGCCCGAGACTTTGTTACTGAGTGGTCCTTGGCACCGTCTTGGAGTGCGCTGTGCTACTTGAGCTCCAGAATCCGGATTCGGTGTGTGTTAGCGGCCCTAAACTGCTAACCCGAAGCCCAAAATCCTAAACAAAGAACCCTAAACAGCCAGCAGCACTCCAACAATTTCGGCTCGCACTTGCCAAGGGGGTGTGAGTCGCAACGAGCCCGAGGGTTGTTCACTGTGCCCACTCGGGCAAGTACCTGTTGTGCTGACTCTAAACCCTAAATATCCCTACAGGCTCCTAAACCCGAAACCCTAAACCCTAAACTCCTTCAGCTGAGGCTTCGATAGGTTGAGCAAGCTCTGAAATTCACGAAAGACACGTGCCTGCGCCCTGCCCTGGATTTGTGGCAGGGCACTGCTTTCTTCCAGGTGCAGGGAGATCTGAATTTCACACTTGTGGCGCAGCCCTGGGTTCCTCCACACTTCGATCGTAGGGTTAGAGTTTAGGGTTTGGAGTCTAGGGTTTAGGGTTTAGGGTTTAGGGTTTAGGGTTTAGGGTTTAGGGTTTAGGGTTTAGGGTTGACTTCTGATAAGCATCCCAGAAGGCGACCTAACTCGGAGCAACCCCTCATATGATGCTTTGAAATCGGCTTGCTCAACAGTGCCTCCTTATTGCAGAACAGCAGGCGCCCTCGGCAGAACAAGTGGTGATTCCATGCTGCGTGCGAAACGGTTGGAGAAAGCATTCAAGGACGGCCACAAGCAGCATTGACATCACCCAGTATGTACCCCCTGGTTCTCAGTAGGGAATGAGAGAATTAAGGGCCCTACATATACCCTTTGAGGGATTATATAGGGTACCTCCTTCCTTACTGAAGAACCAGCCAGAGTATCGAGACATGGAGTGTAGCGTAGATGAGAGTGGGCAGGCTTGTCACCATTCGCTGCAGCAAAAAATGGATCCGGCAATTCGCTCTCGGTTTTGTTCTTGCCCTAAACCTTAAACCCTAAAACCCTACACCCTAAAGCCTAAACCCTCAACCCTAAACCCTAAAGAATGAAGATACATGATGTAGCTCTGCACTGTGCCTTTTATAAGATGTTTGTTCAAACGTGCACTATGCACGTGTACACAGACCCGCATCACACAGGACATAGACCCCCCTTGTATACACTCCCCAAGTATTCGAATCGACCCTAAACCTCAAACCCCAAATCCTGATCCTAAACCCGAAGCCCGAAATCCTGAACCGTCATGTGGGAAGCCCCACGTCTTTGTTCTCGTCGTTGCTGCAACGTAGTCCATGGAGTGCTCGGCGTAGCACACACGCGTTGCGCGTCGGTATGGACACATCCAGCACTTTCCCTCAAATAAGGTCTCAGAACCAGCTTAGATTGCCGGTTCTAACCCATGAGTTTTTGGAAGCCATAAACCTAAACCCTAAACCCTAAACCCTAAACCCTAAGCCCCAAGCCCCAAGCCCTCTTACGGGAGGTCGAGGCCGCTGTCCGTAGCTTGGCCGTGGCTCTTCGCTCGGGCCCCCGCGACCGCAGCGCTGAAAGGCGCCGCGTGGTTGATTTGGGGTTTAGGGTTTAGGGTTTTAGGGTTTAGGGTTTAGGGTTTAGGGTTTAGGGTTTAGGGTTTAGGGTTTAGGATATGTCCCGACACGTGGGGGACAATGCCCCTCGTAAGAACTCCCCCAAGTCCAGTGTCAGTGCCCTAGTTGCCGAGTTGTACCTACTGTTGGAAACCTTAAATGTCCAGGCGGAAAGAGTTCGAGCTACTCCGGCATTTGGCCGCCAACGCGTTCCCTTGGGCTGCAGAGGACGTGCGTGGGGCTCGGCATTCGGCTCCGGCGACATCTGAAGTAGGCCCAGAGTGAGCTTTCACCAAGCCACACTGGTCTGATCTAGTGGAGTATGTTTAGGGTTTAGGGTTTAGGGTTTAGGGTTTAGGGTTTAGGGTTTAGGGTTTAGGGTTTAGGGTTCAGGGTTTAGGGTTTAGGGTTTAGGTTTTAGCGTTTCGGGTTTAGGATTTCGGGTTTGGTAGGAACAGTCGACTCTTTGCAGATAGATAGGACTCTGCAGCTGTGTGGCTGCGCGTCCTAGACCCCTAAACCCCTAAACCCCTAAAACCCTAAAACCCCCAAACCCTAAAACCCTAAACCCCTAAAAACCCTAAAACCCTAAAAACCCTAAACCCCTAAACCCCTAAACCCCTAAACCCCTAAAGCCCTAAAGCCTAGCCGTTAGATGATTTCCGGGAGAGTTCCTCTTAACCGACCCTTCAAGGACCCTAGCCGTAGCCCTTTTGTTTCAGACTCCGGAAGCTGAACCGCCTACTTTCCACGGATCCAGGGTTCGCGAGATCGAAACCTTCGCCAGCCGCAAGACCTTTATGAAGTTGGCAGGCAGCGGCCAGGGTTTAGGGTTTAGGGTTTAGGGGTTAGCGTTTGGGGTTTTGGGGTTTAGGGTTTTAAGGTGTAGGGTTTCGGGATCTCCAGCCAGCATAATAGTAGGGGTCGCAAGAATTCAAAGATTATGTTTTTTTTCAATGGTCCCTTTTTGATTATACTAGAAGAACCCCCAAACCCTATTCTAATCATTAAGGGCCCCCTCTATGAGGCAGCTTAGGGCTGGTTCAGTCAGAGGGCCCAAGTCGAGGTCCTAGGAGAATCAGTAGTTGGCAAGTTATGTTTTAGGAAAATGTCTGATATATATATATATATATACACATATACATATACACATATATATATATGTACCATATATATATATATATACACACATATGTATATATATATATATACAAAAATATTAGGAAATTATACACTACTCTTCTGCTTGCTTCCACGCACTGGTGCACACGTAGTACACGCCGAAAACACGGCAAATACCGATAACATCGTACTTGTCGAGTATTTCCGTGGCTATGATGCGCAACAATTTCCGTGGCTATGTTGCGCAACACGTCATGCATGCAAAAGTATACAAATCTGCAGCCGAATTTCGGGTTTAAATTGTCCTTATATACTCCGAAAGCCAAATTGTTTTTTGTTTTTACTTTTGTCTTAGTAAACAAATACATGTTGTTATTCAAAACAGCATCCTAGGTTCTGTGCTGCGACTCATACATAAACAACCCTAAACCCTAAACCCTAAACCCTGAACCCTAAACCCTCTAAACCCTCTAAACCCTCTAAACCCTCTAAACCCTCTAAACCCTCTAAACCCTCTAAACCCTCTAAACCCTCTAAACCCTCTAAACCCTCTAATACCCTCTAATACCCTCTAATACCCTCTAAACCCTCTAAACCCTCTAAACCCTCTAAACCCTCTAAACCCTCTAAACCCTCTAAACCTCTAAACCCTCTAAACCCTCTAAACCCTCTAAACCCTCTAAACCCTCTAAACCCTCTAAACCCTCTAAACCCTCTAAACCCTCTAAACCCTCTAAACCCTCTAAACCCTCTAAACCCTCTAAACCCTCTAAACCCTCTAAACCCTCTAAAACCTCTAAACCCTCTAAACCCTCTAAACCCTCTAAACCCTCTAAACCCTCTAAACCCTCTAAACCCTCTAAACCCTCTAAACCCTCTAAACCCTCGAAACCCTCTAAACCCTCTAAACCCTCTAAACCCTCTAAACCCTCTAAACCCTCTAAACCCTCTAAACCCTCTTAACCCTCTTAACCCTCTAAACCCCCTAAACCCCCTAAACCCTAAACCCTAAACCCTAAACCCTTAACGATACGATATCACTGCCCAGAAAGCTCCCCGACAAGGCGGCGTGAAGCGCCAGCTCCTAGAACAGGCCGCGTCGGAAGCGCCGGAAGGCTTAGTGGTGGCACCCCGACCGCATCATTGGGGTTTAGGGTTTAGGGTTTAGGGTTTGGGGTTTAGGGCTTAGGGTTAGGGCTTAGGGCTTAGGGGCAGATCTAGGTCCTTCGTCTTACCATGACGTCTATAAACGGAGATGCTCTCTCAACATGAGACACTTTTTTTTTTTTTTTTTGGGGGGGGGGGGGGGGTTGTGCATTGGACAGTTGACATGCGTGCAAGGTGCCCAAGGGGCCAGGGTTCCGCCCATTCACTCCCGCAGTCTGCTTATTCCCCTTGCAGTCCCTTTTCAGCAAGAGCTGTACTATGAGCTACGCCCAAAGACCCGTTCTAATACACTTGGGCTCTTATGTTGCGCCACAGATGGCAACGGACGCATACCGCCACCCCTGAACCCTAAACCCGAAGCCCTAACTAGGGCTTAGGGTTTAGGGGTTTGGAGGTTTAGGGTTTGGGGCTTGGGGTTTAGGGTTTAGGGTTTAGGGTTTAGGGTTTAGGGTATAGGGTTTAGGGTTTAGGGTTTAGGGTTAGCTGCAGGAGCTTGGCAGCTACGTTGGCTATTCGGCCGCTGTGCTGGCTGCGGCCTTAGGTGATTACTTGGAGGTTCATGGGACTTCTTAACCAATCATAACTGTACTTACAACCCGCTCATAAGCCGCTTAATTGCCTCGATATGGTTATAAGTACAGTTATACGTGGTTAATAAGTACCATGAACCTCCAAGTAGGTGAGAGAGAGCATTGGACTAGAGATTGAAGGCTTGGACCGGGTTTTGAGGGTTTAGGGTTTGGGGTTTAGGGTTCAGGGTTTAGCGTTTAGGGCTACGGGTTTCGGGCTGATTAGGGTAGGTGCACCATCCTCGCAAAAGACGCATCCTATGCGACTTTCACTGTTCAAGCCGTGAGCGTGAGACTTCATCTTGAAAAGAAGTACCTCGGGCAGCTTGCTAAACCCTGAACCCTAAACCCGACACCCTAAGCCCTAAACCCTCAAGCCCTTCTGGATTCTTAGCGTCTTGATCCGTCCCGTCACTTCTTTTCATCCAGCACTGTTTCATCTTTCGGGTTAAGGGCTTAGAGTTAGGGGTTTAGGATTTAGGCTTTAGGGGTTTGGGGTTTAGGGTTCGGGGTTTAGGGTTTAGGGCTAGGGGTTTAGGATCTAGGGCGTTCGTGCTTTGGCTGTTCAATCCTTCAGTCGCTTCAGAAGGTCAGGGCCCCCTCTCCATTGAGCATTCGCCCTCTAGACCCTAAACCCTAAACCCTAAACCCTAAACCCTAAACCCTAAACCCTGCACCCTAAACCCTAAACCCTAAACCCAAGCAGCGTTAACCCCCTAACCCTAAAGCCTAAACCCTAAGCTCTAAACAAGCCACCAAACAGCGTTAATCCCTAAACCCTTAAGCTACTTTAATTTGCAGTTATTGAAAAGTTCAAAAAAACAGAAGCTTTCCTCGAAACTCCAGGAAACTGCCCTGGACCTGAACCCTTAATAATTTCAATAAACCCTAAACCTGAAACCCTAAACCCTTAATAAATTCAACAACCCCTAAACCCTAAACCCTAAACCCCCAAACAGCGTTAAATCCGAAACCCGAAACCCGTAAACCCTAAACCCCAAACAAACCCCCGAACAGCGTAAACCCTAAACCCTAAACCCTAAACCCCAAACCCTAAACTTGCGGTCTTATTGGCAGCCTTGTGCTGTGCGCAGGCCATGGCCCGAGGTGCTGTGGCCTTGCCACCATCTCCGAACCAAACCGAGGGGCACGGATCCACAGCTTGGGTTCAGGGTTTAGGGTTCAGGGTTTAGGGTTTAGGGTTTAGGGTTTAGGGTTTTTGGGTTTATGGTTTAGCGTTTTGGGCTTAAGGGTTTAGGGTTAAGGTTTTCGGGACCCCAAGCCCCCGAAACCCTGAAACCCCCCAAACCCCGAGACCCAGGGTTGAGAGTGTGAGGGTCTGGAGCTTCGCCTGGCATTTCTGGCGCAGCACAGCAAGCCTAAACCCTAAACCCTAAACCCTAAACCCTAAACCCTAAACCCTAAACCCTAAACCTTAAACCCTAAACCCTAAACCCTAAACCCTAGACCCTAAACCCTAAACCCTAAACCCTAAACCCTGAAACCCTAAAGGGTGTGCCATGCTGTTCCGGCCGTCGATCTTGCCTTCCTTTTGGCTCAAGCAGCCTGTGTACCGAGCTGCCGCGTGAAGAGCAGGCGGGGACGGTCTGTGGCAGACTTGCTTTTCATTTCGTGCCCCCCTAGATTTTATGAGACACTTTCATCCTCTCAACCCACATCAGGATGCCGGTCCGGATCGTAAAGCAGGATGATCTGAGGATACTTGGCCCGAAGCCTTCGCACTTCAGGTCTGCAATATGGATGTGCTGGGTACTAAAAGCTACTAAACACGCCGCTGCTGAGGAAAGTGTACCCTCCAAGTGGCATTCCGACGGCAAAGAACCAGACCGGTGATGACTTTCTCTTCCAGGCTGTCTAGGGAAGCTAGGGAAGGGGGGCAACACCCTATCACCCTATCACCCTATCACCCTATCACCCTATCAACCTATCACCCTATCACCCTATCACCCTATCACCCTATCACCCTATCACCCTATCACCCTATCACCCTATAACCCTATCACCCTATCACCCTATAACCCCTAGAACCCTAGAACCCTATAACCCTAGAACCCCCCAAAAAAACCAACCTAAACACCATAGAAAACACCATAGAGCCCTATTATTAAAAACCTATCAACCCTACAAACCCTAAGAACCCCAAAAACCCTAGGACTCTATAAACCCCTCAAAGCCGACCTCGTGGCATCCCTGTGAGGCGTGCCAGTATTCCGTGAGCATGGCAAGCCTGGACCGAGCCCTCAAGAAGGCGGGGGAAATACAATCTGAGTATGTCAGGGTTTGGGGTTTAGGGTTGGGGTTTAGGGTTTAGGGTTTAGGGTTTAGGGTTTAGGGTTTAGGGTTTAGCGTTTAGGGTTTAGCGTTTAGCGTTTAGCGTTTAGCGTTTAGGGTTTAGGGTTTAGGGTTTAGGGTTTAGGGTTTAGGGTTTAGCACACGTCACCTGGACAGGGGGCCAATGTGAACGCCCGGAACAAGGACGGCAACACGCCTCTCATGCTTGCCTGCCGCTGCCCCAGGTCCCAGGCAGAGGACTTAAAGTCCATTTGGGGGTTTTCGAAATTCTCAGTGGTTCATTTTATCCCATGGGTATTTGGGAAGTAAGAATTAGGGGTACCTCATATAAGGGAATCCTACAATTTGGGGACTATATTTGGGGTCCCTTATTTTCGTAAACCTCCATTTACACCCTACGGCAATGCATTCGTGGCTCGTGCCAAGGCCAAAACTGGACGGGCTCCCAGTATTTGCCTTTCATGAACAAGCTGCTGGACCGCCGGGCATGGGCTCTCTGAACGGTTTAGGGTTTGGGGTTTGGGGTTTAGGGTTTAGGGTTTAGGGTTTAGGGTTTAGGGCACCAGCTACCAGGTAATAAAGCCTCCGAAGTGCGCACGCAAGCCATTCGCTGCTTCCTAGATTCCTGGACTAAACCAAACCGAACCCTAAACCCTAAACCCTAGACCCCAAACCCTAAACCCCAAACCCTAAACCCTAAACCCTAAACCCTAAGCCTCAAACCAGGGCTGAAAAGTCGCCACATGGCGCAGAGGAGTCCAAGGCAGACGTGAACGTGGAGAGCGGCTGGGGCTTCACCCCCCTGGACAAGGCAACACCATGGCATGGCCCTAAAAATCCTTTAAAAACTCTCTAAAAACCCTTTAAAAAACCCTAAAAGCCCTCTAAAAACACTCTAAACCCTCTAAAAACCCTCTAAACACCCTCTACCCTGACCCCCAGGGTTGATGATATTAGGGTGTACGAGAATAGGATGAGGGCTTAGGGTTTAGGGTTTGCCTTATGGGGGGCCCTTATTATAAGGGAATCCTGCTAATTATTTGGGTATCTATCTTGGGGGGTCCCCCATTTTCGTCAACCTCCATATTGGTATCCAAGAAAAAATCAGCATGCCCAAAACCCATACCCCTCTTAACCTCTAAACGGAGAATACAAGGAAGGATTTTACCCCCCCCTAGTTTCTTTTAAGGGGTATGCCCAAGGAGTAAGTTGATTTTTCTTAGATGGTATAACACCAGATGGTCATTTCTCAAAGATGATGGTCCCTTCTTGGGTACCCGAAAGCCCTAAACCTACAACCCTACAAGCCTAAGCCCTAAAGCCCTAAACCCTAAACCGTAAATAACAGAGACATCCTTAGAACCAGGACCCTGGAAGGGAACATGCCTTAGAGAGGTGACCAGATTATTGACCTGCTATAGTGTTGTAGAGTTAATAGTATTGTTCTCTTATTGTTTGTTTATTGTCAGTTTAAAAGTACCATACTAACGTATCTATATATATACACATATACATATATGTGTACGATTATACTTTCATACTCGTGTCCCAAGCAGGAAGCCCCCTTATCGCCCCTCTTACCCTAAGCCAACCCCATAACCCCCCTAAATCTCAACAGCTTTAATATCTGTATACACATATACACACATAGCCATATACAAATACTGCATATGGATACATCCCAAATCCTCCCCATTCCCGGCTGGCTCCTAAGGTCCTGAAGACCCTAAACCGCATCAAGAGTGTCGGGTCTAGGGTTTAGGGTTTAGGGTTTAGGGTTTAGGGTTTAGGGTTTAGGGTTTAGGGTTTAGGGTTTAGGGTTTAGGGTTTAGGGTTTAGGGTTTAGTTTATTGCTCAGCGTTTAGGTTTTAGGGTTTAGGGTTTAGGGTTTAGGGTTTAGGGTTTAGGGTTTAGGGTTTAGGGTTTAGGGTTTAGGGTTTAGGGTTTAGGGTTTAGGGTTTAGGGTTTAGGGTTTAGTTTATTGCTCAGCGTTTAGGTTTTAGGGTTTAGGGTTTAGGGTCTCCATGCGCACTCTCAGCCGTCAGCTCCTTAACTCCTAAGTCCTAAACCTACACCCCAATAAACTCTAACCGCCGAACCCTTACCCAAATTTGTAAACCCATCCAAACCCCAAAAGCCTAAACTCTAAACCCTAAACTCCTAAACCCTAAACCCTAGACCCTAAACCCAAACCCTAAACCCCAAACCCTAAACCCTAGACCCTAAACCCCAAACCCCAAACCCTAAACCGCAAACCCTAAACCCTAGACCCTAAACCCCAAACCCTAAACCCCAAACCCTAAACCCTAAACCCTAAACCCTAAATGCTAAACCCTAAACCCTAAACCCTTGTCATTGCTAGGTGACGGAGCTCCTGAAGGACCAGGAGGCCGCGAGGCTCCAAGAGATGCGCGCGCAGGAGGTGACAGCTTAGGGTTTAGGGTTTAGGGTTCAGGTTTCAGGGTTTAGGGTTTAGGGTTTAGGGTTTAGGGTTTAGGATTTCGGGTTTAGTTTTTAGGGTTTAGAGTTGTTGAGATGCGTTGAGGGTGATGAGGCCCTCAAATTGCGGCTACAACCAGTTGTAACTACTATCCCTACACCTAACCCCAGGGCGTTTAGTAGGTGTTGGTTTAGGCTGGGTTAGGGTACAGTAGCAGAGCTGGTTTTGGTGGTTGGGGGCCTTCAGAGGTTTGGGGACCTTCGCGCCTTTTTGCGGCCTCAGGGCGTTTAGGGTTCATGTAGACCTATCAAGGTGCCGAGGGTGTCAGGGCTCTTTACAGGGATAGTCGACTATTATATGGAAGTGTTAGGGGTTCTAGCTTAAGGGATTTGACGTGTCGGGGTTCTGGGACTTCTACGGCAGGGTCTTTATGCTCTTTAGGGCTCAGAGGAGAAGGGGTTGCAGAGGTGGTCCTGGGCGAATGCAAATTTCGGCTGTAAACCCTAAACCGCCTAAACCCTAACCCTAAAACCAATAAAGAAAGCAGAAGCGGAAGCGGAAGCCAGGCCATTTTTGTACTCGCCATACAGCTTCAATCCAATTAGGTGCATTTTAGGTCAGGGGCAGCCTGGAAACGATTCGTTAGCGCTGCCTGCTGCATGCCCTCCAGCCCTGCTAAGCAAAGCCCTGACACATGGAAGCTTGGGCCAAGATGGCTACGGAAATTTCGGCCGTAAACCCCAGACCCTAAACCCTAAGCCCTAAACCCTAAACCCTAAGCCCTCAACCCTAAACCCTAAACCCTAAACCCTAAGCCCTAAGCCCTAAGCCCTAAGCCCTAAGCCCTAAGCTCTAAACCCTAAACCCTAAACCCTAAACCCTAAACCCTAAACCCTGAACCCTAAACCCTAAACCCTAAACCCTAAACCTTGAGCGCTTCTTGGGCAGGAGAGGCGAGAGATCATGGAAGGAAGAAGCATCGTGGGCTACGGCTACGGGACAGCCGAGGCGCGCCGGCTGCAAGAACGCTGCCGGTGTGGCGTAATGGTTCGGGCTTTTAGGGTATAGGGTTTAGGGGTTTAGGCTCAAGGTCGTGGGTTTGCTCACTGGCTCTGGGCTGTATAAGCGGGCGTATATGGGCTAGTAAGTATGGAGGATGTAGGATCAGTGACCCTCAGCCCTCTGCCCAAAACCCTAAGCCCCAAACTCTCACCCTAAACCCTGAAAGCCCTACAAAGCCCTGGAATTCCCATAAAACCCTATAGAACCCCATAAAACCCTATAAGCCCGATAAAACCCAATGGACCCTATAAACCCGATATGCCCTATAGACCCTATAACACCCTGCAGCAGCTGAAAACCCCTAAGCCCCTTACAGGAGCAGCGCCAGCGCCTGGTTCCCAACCAGCCGTTGGCCGACGAGCTCGACACCTTCAAGTGCCTGCCGCAACTCCGGGAGCCCCGGGTTGAAAGTGGGGTTTAGGGTTAGGGTTTAGGGTTTAGGGTTTAGGGTTTAGGGTTTAGGGTTTAGGGTTTAGGGTTTAGGGCTTAGGGCTTAGGGCTTAGGGCTTAGGGCTTAGGGCTTAGGGCTTAGGGCTTAGGGCTTAGGGCTTCGGGCTTAGGGCTTAGGTTTAGGGTTTAGGGGGTTTAGTTCCCCGGAGAACCCAGTGTTCCTGAATCACGGCATATTCCTTCAACCGTTTCGGATCCCCCTTGAAATGTACTGAATATTGCTTGATTGAGGGGCTCGTTGAGTCTATGACCTTCATGTTGGCAGCTTGTCTCCGGAGCTTTTCGGTTCGGGGGGAGTGCCTAGTAGAGAGGGTCAATGAGACAACGTTCGAAGCACTCATCGCTTGTGATATGGCACTGAAAACCGGACAAAGAGGATTTCTCCTTTTGAGCTCTGCGTGGGAAGAGCCTCTATGGAGGGAATGTCTGGTCGCATGTGTCAAGTCCGAACATTTACAAGTCATCGTCGCGATCACCGAGTCCGAAGCAGAGGAGCACGGTGTAACAACGCTGTCGACCGGCAATGCTTTGTTCACTCTCGTCAAAGTCCGCGCGGATCAGCTCCGCCTGGGCTGCAGTGCGGCCTATTTGGGCCTGGAAGCGGAAGAAGATCGTTTGCTGACCAAGGCTCGCTCGATGATCAGTTCAGACGAGGAGCTTGTTTACGCGACGGCTTCAGAGGAGCCTCCTCGCCGAAGACGGCCCAACAAGGCAGCTGCAGCAGACGAAGCAGTCAGCGAGTCAGGCTCGGACGACCAGTCGTCAGCAGAGGGCTTTGGCGAATTGATGCAGAAGCTGAAAAAAGGATGGCTCGACGAGCCTACGTCCAAAGGCAGCGCAGGCGGCAGCTCAACCAAGGGCAGCAAGAAGCACAAGTTCAAGTTGCTGAGAGAGACTGCAGCTCGCAGCAGCAGCAGCAGCAGCAAGAAGGGCGAGGACAACCTCCCCGACTTCACCAAGCTGGTGTCTGCGCAGGGCGCCAAGGTCGATGTGAATACGCTGCTCACTTTGGAGCTGGTCAATACTCTAAAAGGGAAGCACGACAAGAAGACAAAGAAGCGGAGTCGGGACACGTCCAGCAGCGGATCTTCGGAGACGCGTCAAAGCCGGTCCAGTTCCAGCCGTGGGAGTGTTCCGCGAGCCAGGGGTCATGCCAAAGCCGTAGCCGACTACGACAAGGCGTGGCGCAGAATGAAGAGGCGCCCGATGAAGGTGGTCAGCAAGTACGTCAAGGAGCTGGAGAGGGAAATCGGAGCCGAAGACGGCCTTCCTTACAAGCTTTGCGACTACGGCAGGCGGATCGCTTGGAACAAGCAGCGGAGCCTTCAGCGGGCCCACTATATGATCTCGTCCATCCTCGAGCTCCTCCTCAAAAAGAAGGTAGAGCAGGCTGCGTTGCTAGCCGTGTTGTGCCTGCGAAGCCTGCACCAGGCCGCTCTCGACCACGGCGACTGGACGGTAGCCTGGATGATCACCCATCTCCCCGATGTTTTCGGCAAGAAGACTTTCGGCGGCGACGCCGAAGATCTGCAGCACGTGACAGCCTACCTCAAGTCCATGCAGGAGTTGGACAAGAACGCACGAGCTGTCAGGCGTCAGGAATGGGCGCAGTCAACAGCCGAGGACGACAAGACCAAAGGAAACCCCAAAGGCGCGGGGAAGAACAAGGACAAGGACCAGTCATGAATCCCTCAGACCGAAAGGCTTCAAGCGGCAGATCTGGTGACCAGTACTGTCGCGAGATGCTCAGAGAAATTCGAGAGGGCCATGGGGCCTTCAGCCGTTTTTTGAAAATCGTGAGAGCTCTTTCTTCGAAGAGCTCGGGGCCTAGGACATCCCCGAACGGGGAGTGCAAGCTTTTTCCCAACGGGGAGTGCAAGCTTTTTCCGTCTTTGCTTCCGAGTCTGGAGCATCCCAGAGTCTCGGGGAGCGCAAGACTGCGCCAGCGAGGACGAGGCCGAACGCTAGCTTGGGAATGGGTTGAAGTGTTGTGGGCGTTGTTTACCTTCTACGAAGGTGGGGCTCCAGCACAGACGGAGGCTCTTGAAGCTCTTGCCAAGCACGCAGCGCGCGCTCCCTGGACTCAACTCCATGCGGAATACGCCGGCTCACTGCATCAGCAAATTCAATCCTTTTGCCGCCTTAAGGATGACTCTCCCCTAAGTCGCGGCAATCAGAAATTAAGCGAATTTATTGAGTGTTTAAAGCTGTCCCACTATAATCCTCAAATCCCCAATCCCTCATCAAGCGTAAGTCAGGCAAAATATGTCTGCCCAGAGCGCATGTCCTTGCCAGAGCAAGCAGGCGTAATAGATCCCCTCGACTTTCTGAAAGGTAAGCAGCGCGAAATCTTTGAGAACTCTGCTGCAGTCATCCCTGAGGATCATGAAACGAGGGCGGCGTCCAAGGCCTGCTTTAAGGTAAGGGAAGCAGACCAGCCTGCAGTGTATCGCAAGTTGCTACAGTCAGGCGTTGCCACACTGATTCCTGCTGAGTGGGGACTCCGAGATTGCCACGGAGACCTCATCACTGGGGGGCTGTTCGCCGTACCGCACAAGCCAAATAGTGATCGCATCATAAACGACAGACGGCCCCTAAATGAACTTGAAAGACGTCTGGTTTGGGCAAAATTACCTCATGGTAGCATGCTAACGCAACTGATCGTACCAAAGGGTCAAGGGCTGAGGGGCAGTGGGGATGATTTACAAAATTATTTCTACTTGCTCCGCCACCGGCCAGATTGGCTCCCCCGCAATGTTGTTGGTCAGCCTTTTGACGGAGGTGATTTTGTAGAGTTCGGGGGGGAGGCTGGGAAAAGGTACCTGTTAGCGTTTACGGTTGTCGCTATGGGTGACAGAAACGCTGTGGACATTGCACAGCAAACCCACCTTGAAATTCTACAGGACTGCGGTGCTATGCAGCCATGCGAAGTTTTGTCTTACAAAGCACCACTCCCAGCCTCAAGCACTTGGGAAGGGTTGTATATAGACGATCATATCGTCATCCAGCAATTCCCCAGCCGTAAGCTTCGTAAGCGCATTGGCCACAGCGGGCAGTGCAAACTTAGGGATGTTGACATCATTGAGCGCAGTAGAGCCCAGTACGCAAAGCTTCGTATTCCTACTTCATCGTCAAAGGCCTTCACCCGTGAGAGTAAGTTCGTGGCTTGGGGAACCGAGGTGGATAGCGCCAGTGGACGCGTAGGGTGCCCTGCTGTGAAGCTCTTGCAGATTGGCTTTCTCATCCTTGAAGTTTGTAGCCTGCCCGTAGTCGGCAAGCGCTGTTTACAGCAACTTCTCGGCCTCATCGTGCATCCCCTTATGCACAACCGATGTTTGATGAGCATCCTTCAGGACACCTACAACCACGTATCAAGCATGCCAAAAGCTCGGGCTTCACGCCTCCCTAGCGCAGCTCGAGAAGAGCTGCTTGTAGTGGGCCTTTGCCTGCCGTTCGCTTGCGCAAATGTTCGGCGCCCAGTGTCTGCCAGGATTTCAGCTACCGATGCGAGCCTAGAGGCAGGAGGGCGAGCTGCCACCCTAACATCGCCTCCCGTAGCCCAAACCCTGTACAGGTACGCTGAACATAGGGGTGAACACGTAAGGCTCGATTGGGCTCATAGTTGCTTAGTCCCCGGAAGTACAATGTCTCAGGCTCCCGAAGAAGTTGAAACACTCATGGCCGACCACGCGTGGAGCACCACGGAGTGTTGTTCTTTTGGCCACAAGCAGCATATTAATGTCCAGGAGCTGAAGATGATAAAGCGCGAGCTGGTCGCCGCTGTGCACCAAACAACCGCCCCTCTAAGACTTGTAAACCTTGCAGATAGTCGGGTCGCCGTCGGAGCGTGGTCAAAGGGGCGATCTTCGTCGAAACAGCTCAACCGCATCTTGCGCAGCTGCATAGGATGGTCCGTTTGTGGAAGAAAAACGTTACACAATGTCTGGGTCCAGTCAAGCGCCAACCCCAGTGACTATCCCTCGCGCTTCAGGCCCATCCCTAGCCCTAGTGCGCCTAGGCCCGTCACTAGACAGGTGTTTGGTAAGCAGGCCTCCTACGTGCAGCAGCGCAAGAGGAACAGCCGGATATGGGCCCTCGCTTTGAGTGCAGATGCCGTTTTCGGGGAGGAGCTTTCGTTCATGCCGAGGCACCCAGCTGAGCCGCTGTGGACATTCCGTGAGGTGTTTGCCGGCAGTGCGAACTTGACAAAGCATTTCAAGAGCATGACAGACTTCGCAATGGCTCCTCCCGTTGAGCGTATGCAGCGCGGCAAGCCCAGTCTTCGGCATGATCTGTTAGACAATGACACATATGCCCAGCTCCTCCGCGATGCTTCACTCCCTCGACAGTTTTGGCATTTTGCAGTGCCGAGTGCGTCATTTTCCCAGTTGCAGCGGCTAAACTCGAGCACTAGGGTGCCCTCTAGGCCAGAAGGTTCGGGCGCCCTTCGGAGCGAAGTGAGAGCCAACGAGCTCGGCCGCAGAACAGTCGAGCTTTGCAAAGCTCTGCATGCAGCAGGTTCCTTCTTTACAATCGAAAACCCCAGCAGCTCGCTCTTGTGGCGTCTTGCTTGCTTCAAAGAGCTGCTGTGTTTGCAGGGCCTGCAGATGGTACAAGTAGACCTCTGCAAGTATGGGTTGACAATGCCGGACAGCAACGGCGCACGCAAACTCGTTCAGAAGGCCACTGTTTTTTGTGGGACCGTTCCAGGGCTAGAGGCACTTGAAGCACGTTGTAGTCGGGACCATGAGCACGTCCAGGTCTTAGGAGGGGCTCGAACTCCACAAGGATGGAAATCACGCTCCAAGCTTGGCAGTGCCTATCCCAACCAGCTGTGTCGTGCCTATTGCCGGATGTGCCGCAGACTGTTCATGTGACCAGATTAGGTTTATCTTGGGACTTCATGTGCAGCACTTTGTTTTATTTGTTTAAGTTAGGCTGGTG